TATCATATAATATATAATATATAGAGGGAGACTCACAAAAATGTCCCATTTTTAATACTCCGTTTTCAAAAATGCCCCCATTGGCTGTCTATTTTTAAAAATACCCCTTTTTATGTACAAAATGACTATATGACCCGTCTTTTAATAAAAGATATCACAAATATATAAGGAAAACATGAGAATGTGCACACATCAAAATTACAAATTTGATTTTGTAAAAACTTGTAAAATCTTTAAAATACCTTGTAAAATTTTCCCGTAAAATTTTTCCCACAAAAAAATTTTCCCGCCAAAAAATTTTTTTTTGCGAGAAAAGTGATTCCCCAATTTTTTTGGCGTTAAATTTTTGGCGGAAAAAATTTACAAGGTATTTTAAAGGTTTTTACAGGGTATTTATAAGGTTTTACAACGTATTTATAAGGTATTTATAAGATATTATAAGATTTTACAAGCTATTTTATAAGGTTTTACAAGTTATAAGGTTTTACAAGTTTTTTATAAGGTTTTACAAGTTATAAATACCTTATAAAACCTTATAAGTACCTTGTAAAACCTTTTAAAATACATTGTAAAACCTTACAAAACCCTTGTAAATACCCTGTAAAACCTTTAAAATACCTTGTAAATTTTTCCCGCCAAAAAAATTTTCCGCCAAAATAATTTCGCCAAAAAGTTGCGGAATCACTTTTCCCGAAAAAAAAAAATTTGGCGGAAAAATTGAGGGATCACGTTTCCCGCCAAAATTTTGCGGGATCACTTTTCCCGCCAAAAAATATTTTGTATTTTGTGGACCTAATTTTGTTTCAAATAAGAGTAAAATGGTCATTAAAAATTAAAAGAGGGCAAACTTAAAAATGGACTCTCAAATGAGGCATTTTTGAAAAAGGGTATTAAAAAAGGGGCAATTTTAACAATTTCTCTACATTTAACCATCCGCCTACTATAACGATTTTAAATATATCGTTTTAGAAAATCAAATTCAAGTATTTCTAATTTTTTTTATCTTTTTAAATCTATTAAATATTTATGATATTTATTAAAATATTAAATTAAACTATTTTTAAATGTTCCAAATTAAAATCTTTAAAAATATTTCTTGTAGTATATAAAATTATGAATTTCAAAAAAAAGAATTATATGAAACTAAATAGAAATATTCAAACAGTTATAAGGATCATAACTCATTTGTTAATATAATATATTATATTTAACCCACTGCCTATTATAAATATTTGTTTTTAAAAAATCAAATTAGAGAATTTATTGATGACATTCTTTAAATATTGATGATATTCTTGAAAAATATCAAGTAAAACTAATTTTATATGTTGCAAATTAAAATATTTAAAAATCTTATTGTAGTATATAAAATAATACATTTCAAAAAATAAATGTATGAAATTGAATATAAATATTCAAATTCTGACTCTATACGCAGTCGAAATTTTTGTTGAACTTATTTTTGGTTAAAAGAAATATATCACTCAAATGTGAATTTTTGACCCGTTAATTTTTTTCCTTCAAAGATTTAAAAATTTATATTCGTTTTTAAAAATTCAAATCTTGGCATATGCAGAAAAAATTTATTTTTTTTTGTTATATGTATGATATGATGATTTATTTGTTTCATAAAAATAGAATCATATAAAGATGAGAGGTGAAGTATAATGATTAATAACAAATTAATATGGTAAGTTAAATATCAAATCTTATATGTTCATTTTGATTGGTCATTCTTTTTTTTTTTAAGTTAATAATATATTTTCGTTTTTAATAATTAAATTAATTAAATTTCATAAATTAATGTTTGACTTGTTTATCCTTAATGAACTAAATTAATTTACTCTTTATATTTTTATCTCTAATGGCATTCTAATGTAATAACTTACAAAGGGGAAGGTTATTAAAGGATAATTATAAATTGTACTCCCAAATAATAGTATAGGATGTCATTACTGGGTCGGGTCAAAATCTATCTTTTTGCACTAGAAATCTTAAAATCGGATCTTTTCTTAAATTTCAGCAAAAATCATAAACAACATTAATTCTTAAAATCTAGAAAATATATCTTTTCTCAACTAATTACTACACCTAAACTCTTTAATTATAGCATATTCTTACGTACAAATAAATAATTTATTTCATTTCATAAATCTGATTTTTTGAGATTCTAATACTTTCTCAATCAATAGTTAGTGTTCTTCTTATTACGTTTGACTTTTGTGTTTAGTTTTGTTCTAAACAATTAATTGTTATTTAACGATTTTATATTGCAACTTGCGATTTTATGATCTTTGAAAAACTATGAAGGTCATTAACATCGTCTCCAATAAACTAAAAAAAACAAGGTATGGAGTCAAACATAAGTGAGTCCTACTTCTTATTATTAGATATATGAATTTTGTTTTAAATGTCCAGTTTTCTTTTATCAAATGTTTTTATGTTTCTTCTCCATATTCTTAATGTTTATTGCAAGCTCATGATGTTATTGGATCGGGCCTGTCAAATGGGCTGAACCAAATTCTTTATTTTGGGTCAAACTAGATTTGAGGCGCGCGTTTAAGTGGGTCAAACTAGATTTGAGGCGCACAACCCACAATAGTTAGGCTTTTATGTTTTAGTATTTTTTTTGTGCATATTAATTTAAAAGTTACCCACTCTATGATTGGTAACTCATCTCTAACAGTTAGGCTTTTATGTGTTCGTTTTAGTCATTTTTTTTTCCAACAAGGTTAGTCGTTTTTAATCATTGAGTTTATGCTTTTTTTATTTACATTGGATAAAAAGAACATAATCATAAAATGAACCGGGTAAAAACAACATAATCATAAAATAAGCAACTGTTATCTCCAATTGCGTTTTATTAATAAAGGAAATCGGTCATACCAATACGATGTTCATATTCTTATGTATTCCTCATATCGATCTTGTTTGTAACATAAAAAGAAAAAAAATTATTTTGATGATATAACACAAAAAAAACTTATGATTATGTGTTTCATGGAAACTAATTAGAATCCACTATATAATATTCGATTTTTGTGTGCGCAAAATACACTATTCCTTTATGATTAAAAAAAAATCAAACAAAGAAAAAAAATGAACTCTAAAAGATTTTATAATTGTAGATCTTGCGCTGTGTAGCCATATTAAGATATTAAAGTTTTTATTTCACAAGATATGTTAAATTAGTACATAAATTATAATGATATTTCTATAAATATTATCAGTGCAGGTTATTGACATTGATTGAAAAAATATTAGAAAATCTTATCAATTAATGGTGAGTAAGTAATTTTGCAAGCAGCCTTAAGAAGAAGATGGTAGACATAAGGAATAGGAAACAATACCCCGAAACAACTTTCGGGAAGAGAGAGCATGGCATAGCAACACTTTTTTGTGACCTGCTTGAATCGAAAGTGCAACACAGCATCCATACACTTTGGAATCGTTTTCACATCGTGAATACAAGTTATTGGATCAAGAAAGAATTGGTTATCTGATTGTGGTTCTGGTGCTATCGACGACGGAATCGGTGCAAGATCATTTCCTTTTGTTTGTATAAATATTGATAGGATGATAATCAAAGCTATCATGCTCATAGCCAACATGTTTTGCATGTTTTTGCTTGTTGTTTGATGTTTGTATAATTTATTTCTCATCTAAAAGAAAAATTGTCATTTAATATTAATAATCTTCTATGGTTGTTCTTTTTGGACAAGCTTCTATATTTTGTTTCTTTTTCTTTTTTAAAAAGGCAATCTACGTTTATTCATAACATTTAGTATATATGCTTAAAATAGTTGTCCCCACATTATATTTAAAAAAATTCGTTTACCCAAAATTTTTAATATAGAGGAACTGAAATTTTTTATATTAACTTTAATTAAAATATTTAAATTTTCTTATTCAAGACACGTTAACTTATTAATGCTCTTTTTATTTAATACAAGGATTCTTTACGAGATAAGAAAGTACATAATTAGAAAAATTTATTATCTTGATATTAAGGGAGTGATAAAATATAATGGACAATAAAAATTCTCATGAAAGTTTTAATACATTAAAATCTCCCTTTATTATCTAAGTGGTAATATATGCTTTGAAAGAACAGAAAAAACTATGTTATGAAAAATTTCATTACTTTTTACTGTTTGAACAAAAGTAAAGACAAAATTGCATCGAAACTTGAGATCACCTATTCTTTTCCTGTGATTACGGTCCGCAATCTGGGCAGCTCTTGCAAAGGGCCATCTCAAAGCACGATACACAACAGATTGGTCCATACTTGTTGATTATACTAGGTTATTTAGCCGCGATACTCGCGGCTTGTTGCATACTACGTTATATGTTTGCTATTTATTTTATTTAGTTTTTTTTACTTGAATTTAAAATTTAAAGAAAAATAAATGAATGACAGTAAATTCAAATTTGATTTTTTCTATAAAATTTGAATTGTATTCATCTATATACAATGATATTTATGTTTTTTAAAAAATGATTAAGAGTATATGACTTCTTTTAATCAATACAATATTTGATTAAAAGTCATCTCCTCTTCATAGTCTCTTACAAAATTGACAAAAATGTAATATTGAAACACCATTAGTCGGATTATAAAAGAAATTGTTATAAAATTTATCAATATTATGAAATTTGGAATATGATATGATGGTTTGTGATATGTGTATATTACTATTTATAAAAGACAACATATTTATGTTTTACAACTATTCAACTTTAACAATTATGTTTAAATGTCATTTATGAGTAAGTTAATTGTATGTATATCATAAAAATTATGTTACATTTCAAAGAATTCATTGTGTAGAATTCATTTTGTATTAATTGTATTTAAATTATTGTTGTAATTTAGTATGAGCATTAACAACATAATGATAATTATTAGTATGGAGGTTACAAAATATGAGAAAATACATAAAATATAATTATAATATATTATTTTAGAAAAATCTTAAATTATTATATGTTAATGATGTGGATGATATTTGTTTCAATATAAATATGATTGCAATTTTTTTAAAAGACTCTTAAGATTTGATATCTTGTATTTGCTCATATTTTAGTGTTGTTTTTTACTTGACTATTATTTATATATGTAAACATCAATAAACATATGTTATCTATTACTTTTACAAAATAAATTATTCATATAAACTCACAGATAATTTGTTTGTTTGTTGATATAAATTCCCACATACTAGTTCAAATTCATATTATTTTGCAAGTGGCAAACTAAATTTATTTTTCTTATAAAAATTATATGAACTTCAATCTAATTAAAATCATCAAAGATCCAAGGATAACTTCTATATTTTTTTTAAAAAAATTTCACTCTTCAATTTAAATTATAGTGCTAGATTTTATACTAATGGTTTTATCTTTATATGATTTAATAAAATGATTTTTGTTTTCATTATAATTATTGTTTTGTATATTTCACTCTATTTAAGTATGAGTGTTAGGTTTCACTCTAATGATTTCATTCTAATTTTCTATTCTACCTAAATTTAATTTTCTTGAACCATATGATTCCGATTTTTAATCTTAAGAACCAAATGTTTTTAAACAAAATTCTTTTTACTTTGAAAAATACTTAAACCTCAAATTTTAAATAAAATAAAAGTATAACGATTTTTATATAATTATCTATTGGATCACAAAAAATAAATATAATAATACATATATTAAAAATAAATTACAATATTTATTCGAGATAAGAAAAAGGTAAGAAATATATATTTAATAAATGTATTACAAAAAAAAAAGTTACATGAATATATTAGAAAATAATCAAACATCTAAAGTAGATAATGGAAATGGATTTTTTCAACTTCATTATCTTGTTGTGCTATGATTGGAATTGCTATATTTAACTCTCCATCACCAATAAACCTGAAAATTTTGTTATAACCATCAAAACTTTTAGTATACATATGTGAATTTAAACTAAAAAATATGAAAATTAAAGAATAAATAAGTATATTTTAGTATAGCTTTAGAAATATACAAAAATGAATACAATGTTAGATATATATATATATATAATACATTCTAAAATATATTTAGAATAGAATTCTTGATTTTTAATCCATATAACAACATAAAAAATAGACACATAAATATAGTAGAAGAAGATGAGAGAATGATTACTTATAAGATGATTATCTAAAATAGACAATGAAGATACATCTTTCAAAAAAAAAAAAAACTAATGTAAGAATACAAAACAAAAAAATATTTTAGATTTGAGCTATAGGGGGAGGGTGAGAGGATGAGAGGATGAGAGAATGAGAAATGAGTATTTATAGGATGAAAAGTTAGATAAGTTACAATTTAAATAAATAAATTATGGGAGTTACAATTCCAATTTATTGTGTGTTGAATAAAATTGAGAGGAAAAATATAATTAATGTATAATTTTAATGATTTCAGTTTTTATATTAAAGTGAGTTAAATGTGTTTTATTTATGTTTTAGTTAAAAATAAAAAAATTTAAGTTACATTTCTAAATGGACCAATAAGAAGAGGAAACCCTACTTTTATATGTATGATTTCAAATCATCAACTCGATCGAATAGAGGGTTTCCTCCAAGATGTTTTCTATACGTTTTGGAGGGGAAGAAATGGGCGAAGGTATGGTGACAACCCGCAAACAGCAGGCCACTTCACATGGTTAATCAACAAGCAAACAAGAAATCAGATTTCAGTAATACGACTATTGGGAGATAGGCGGTAAGAGGAGACCTACCAACTATGGATCTAATCTCGTGTTTAAGTTAAAAGTATTCTCTAGTAATTTTTAAAATTTTCCAGCTGCTTTATCTCAAATGAACGATGCACTAGTTTTAAAAAAGTTTAATATTTTTTTGAATATAATTTAACATTATATTAAAAACACGACATAATTAATATATTTATTACATATGTTTTGCAAACGAAAAAGCTTGAAGTTTTGTGTTTAAAAAGAAACAATCTACTTTACTAATAAAGGTCTTCCTATATTGAAAAGGTTACTTTCGTTTGACAAAAAAAAAAAAAAAAAAAAAGAAGAAGAAAAGGTTACTTTCCAATACAAATCTTCTTCACAAAACAAAGAATTATTATTACTAATTAAAAACGTTATCGAGTGGCTGATTTTCCAAACTTTGCATGATAACATGAAAAACTTTGTCAAATACAGACATTAATTAATGCACGTGAATATGACAATAGTTTACATGTCTGGCTAACTACTAGTTTATTTTGAATTTTTAAAAAGCTATTCATAAGAGGAGAAAGCTTAAACCAAGAAGATACATACCCAAAATCATTTTGCCCAAAAAAAAAAAAAAAACATACCCAAAATCTCAGTCAATGATAGAGATGCTTCGTCCTCTCCAATAAATCCAAGGAAAAGCATACCAAAGTTGAAGGAGATTACACAAAATGTGGAGATGATGTTCGAAAGTCAACCAAGAAAAGAAAAATAGAAAAAATATAAGTTTTGGATATTTTGTTGGGAAAGTTACTAGATTAACCCAAATTATGAGTTTAATTACTAGAGTGTCTTAAAATATTTAGGGGTTAAATGAGTTATTTTCGTGACCATAATACCCTTTCTCTCTTTGTTAGGAATTAAAAAAAAATCAAAATTACCCTTAAATAAATAATAAAAACGTGGGCAAAAAATATTAGGAAAAAAAAATTATTTGAAAAGTATGCTGGATAAGTTGTGACAGATTTAATTTCCATGACAGACTTATTTGTCTCCAACAGATTTTTTGCGACAGATTTTTTTTCTCCCACAGACTTACTTGAAATAGGTGACGACAGATATTTAATTTGTAACAGATTTTTTCTCTACGACAGATTTATTTTATGATGACACCACAGACTTTTGTAATTTTGACAGATTTATTAAAATATGTGGCAGATTTATTATTTCAGTGGCGTCAGACTTATATTTTTTGATAAAAATCTGTCATAATGTAGCAGATTTGTTAATGAAAAAATAATTACTAGTTTGACTTATTAGTGATAGCAGATTTATTTTATGTTATGCCAGTTTTTTTTGTTTTAACAAAAATCTGGAGTGTGATAGCAGATTTGTTATTTAAAAATATAAATTGCTAGAATGACATATACTCGCAACCAAAATGTTTTATGTTATGATAGATTTTTTTATATTATGACAGATTTCAGATTGGATATAAAAAAATTTGTCATTGATGACAGTTTTATTGATGAAGATAGAATTTTCATCTGCATAATCTGGTAATGACAGACATATTCTTACCGCGACAGACTTATTTATATTAAATGACTCATGTGTGGCTCTCATCTTGTTAATATATGATTAATTTTTTCGTTTTAGATAAATATATTTATTTTTTCGAATTTCTATTTTTTTTTCGTTTTGTATTTTTTATTTCATTTTATATTTTTTTCAATTTTTTTTTATTTTTTTTTATTTTTTTCGTTATATATAAAATTTTTAATCTAATTTTTTTTTTCGTTTTGTATTTTTTTTTCGTTTTATATATTTTTTTCAATTTTTATTTTTTATTTTGTTTTATATTTTTTCGTTATATATATAATTTTTTTAATTTAATTTTTTTTCGTTTTATATTTTTTTTTTCAATTCTTTGTCGTTTTGTATTTTTTTTTTCTTTGTATTTTTTCAA